TCACCGGCGTCAAGCTGCGGATGAGCACCGCGTTCCACCCGCAGACGTACGGGCAATCGGAGGTGGTGAACAAGACCATCGCATTGTATTTACAGCGCGTCACCGGTGACCTTCCCCGTGCATGGCTCGATTGGCTTCCCTAGGCTGAGTATTGTCATAACACTTCCTACCACACGGCGCTCCGCACCACTCCGTTCGAGGTAGTATATGGTTGGCCACCACCCGCCCTTGTGCCTTACACTATAGGTTCAACGCGCATGGACACGGTGGATGCACTGCTGCGCGAGCATGATTCATTCCTCGCGGAAGTCCACGACCGGCTGCTCCAAGCTCAAGAGTATGCCAAGAAGAACTACAACACCCATCACCGTCCCCTAGAGTTCGCCGTCAATGATCCGGGTGTGGTTGCGCATCCTTCATCGCCCAGCTCAGTCCTTGGTGCCCGAGCCGCGCAGCAAGCTTCGGACCAAGGCCAAGCCCGTTCCAGTGCCGGAGCGCGCCGGCCCGTCGCGTATCGTCTTCACCTCCTGGGCGGCGCTCTTATCGACGACGTGTTCCCACATCGGCGTTCAAGCCGCATAAGGGTCCTCTGTCGAATCGACACTTGCCTGCTGCCGCTCCTGGCGGGCGCTGCTCCATCGCCTCGCAAGCGCACTCTGCATGCCTAGGCTGCGTCGCGGCGCGCTTTACATACTCATCCAAAGGGAGGCCATGAACGACGCCGAGGCGACTTGGGAACCAGTGGAGGACTTCAAGACTCGCTTCCCCTCATTCCAGCTCGAGGACGAGCTGTTCGTCGAGAGGGGAGTGATGTTATGGTGGGAAACGTCTACCAGCGTCACAATAAGAACTGTGGCTGAATGGTGGGCCGCGACACTGCGCGGTCACCAGGTGCGCCAATGCACCTGGACGTCTTCAAGGTTCAACCGCATTAGTTATCGAGATCCGATGATTTAGGAGTGTTAGCTCGTTTGATTATTATCCCTTAATGTTAGCTGAAGTTTGTTAGGATTCATGTATAAGTTGGAACACTTTTGCTTAATGAAGGAGCCAATGGGCCTGTTCGGTTGATATTAAGCCGGCTGAAGCTGTTTTGTTGTGAGAGAAAAATACTGTAGATTCTAGCTGATAAGCCGGCTGATAAGTTCAAGCGAACATGCCCTTATCTCCCTCTCGCTCTCTGGAGCCCTAGCACTCACCCTCGTTCTCCCCCTCCCGCACTTGCCAAGGCACCGATCACGGCGCCGCCATCTCGTCGACAGGCGTTCAAGCCACGACCGGCGATCAGCCACTCCTACTCCCTTCGCAGCAGCATACGCTCCAACAAACAACACAGTCAAGGGCTTGGCAAGGAGGCCAAAGTGGCGAATAAATTTCCGATAATAGCCTGCTAAACCAAGGAAGCCACGGTGTTCTTTGACAGACTTGGGCACAGACCAATTGGCCACTGCAACAATCTTTTTAGGATTCATGGCTACTCTAGCACCACTAATTACATGACCCAGGTCGGTGATACTCTGCTATGCGATGAACACTTAGACATCTTGAACTTCCACTCGTGGGCAGAAAGCAACTGGAAAACTTGCTGCAAATGAAGCAGGTGCTGCTCATAAGAGGGGTTGTATACCAAGATATTGTCAAAGAAAACCAAGACAAACTTCCGAAGGAATGGCGCCAATGTAGAGTTCATAGTCTCTTGAAAGGTTCCTGGAGCACCTGTCAACCCAAACGGCATCACCCTAAATTCAAACTGACCAAAGTGTTTCTAACAAGCCATTTTGTACTCCTCCTTGGGCTGGAGCAGAATCTGATGCAACCCCGAGCACAGATCCAACTTGGAAAACCAGCTGGCCTGTCCCAACTCACCAAGCAACTCATCTATAATAGGACTGGAAACTTTCCCTTTAGTGTGATAGCATTAAGCTGGCAGTAGTCCATGCAAAAGCGCCAAGAATTATCCTTCTTCTTCACTAACAAAATTGAGGAAGAGAAGGGGCTAGAACTTTTCTGAATCAGGCCAGTAGACAACATCTCCTGGACTTGTTTTTCAATCACATCCTTGACAGCTGGAGCAAAACGGTAAGGCCGAGGATAAACTGGTGCTGCCCCAGCGATCAATGGTATAGCATGGTCATAGGCTCGTGAAGGAGGAAGCTGGGTTGGAGGCCGAAACAACGAGGAAACCTCTGCCACCAGTGTCTGTATCTCCATTAGCCATGTATCAGCAGAATTAGCGCCCGGCGGAAGATTGGAATCACATAACTGAAAAACAGAACCCGCAGGCAAACATGTCAGAGTGCCAAACAGCTTGACCGTAGTGCCGTGATATGAAATTTGTAATCACTTGTGACCCCAATGAACCTTCATCGGACAGTGGCTTTCCAACCAGTCGATCCCAAGGATCATATCGTACTATGATAATAGCAGCACCTTCAAATCTGAGTGGAATTGGAACCCCTGAACAGACCAAAGTGCATCAGGAATGTAAGTTGAGCACAACAGCACGCTACCATTAGCAACTTGAACGTGCAATCAGGGGCGGAGCTAGGATTTGAGCATAGGGGGGCGTGCAAACCGGCAACAACCATGCATGTCAAAATGTATACACGCGATAAAGATGTACATAACACACAAATAAATGTTTATGTTGCGATACAAAAGAAAGCAGAAAAAACTAAAAAATGAAGGGAGTTTAATTAGCCTCAGGCCTCTAACCTTTACCCGATCAATCTAATTCTTTGACCGAAAAAAGAATTACGGTAATAACAAGTAGTTAAACAGGGCCAAAACTAATTAGCACTAGATCCTAAATGTTAAATGGCAAACAATCGGTCACTTATCGTTTAGCCTCGGACAAAACGGTCACTTAAACGGTAGACAATTAAACGGAAACATCATACCACTATGTAGCATTTAAATTTTAAATATTGACCAAACTCACTAATGCCAATTGAAGATCAATTTTGAAGGATTAAACAAGAAAAAGCACTGATTTCAATTAACTAGCTAATTAGAGTATGTGGTATGGGGACAAATTAATGTTTGATAAGCAATAACGAAAACAAAAAGATATGGAGAAAATATTAGAAAGACCTAATTTTTATTTATCTAAAATACTATTAGATATTAATATGGAGTAAGAACAAAAAAAATTATAGTACTAATAGTATCATTAACTAGCTAATTAGATAATTAAGCACCTAATTTAGGGGTGTATTATGGGAGTTATGGGAAGGTTGGGGGGTGCCAGGCCCCCCTCAGCCCCCCCCCTTCCCTCCGCCACTGCGTGCAATGGAGACGGCAGCTGGGAAACCTGAGCACAAGCAGCAGCGACTAACTCAGTGACAAAAGTATGAGAGCTCCCGAATCCAAGAGAATACGGAATTACGGATTGAACGACTGCCCAACAGCCCACTGAAGGTCATAGTCCGAGGCCCCAGAATAGCAATCACGGCACCAGCAGACAAAATCGTCAATAGTTGGCCGGGGTCAGTATCAGCAGGATCCATATCAACCAGGGGCGAATCCTCCACACTAAAAACCTCCATCAATTCCTGAACCACATTGAGTTGAATAGCCTATGGAGATTGGTGATCCTTGGACCATTTACCAGCACAATGAACACACAGCCCTTGAGAACGCCGATACGAACGCAGGGCGGCCCAACGATCATCAGCAGACGGACCGTGAGGCCCCTCCGACGAAGGCTTACCCGGAGCAGCATCAATCAACTTATTAGTATGGTTGGGCGGCAGGAGCAGTGGCAAAGCCGACTTGACATATGGTTTCGCCATAGGCATAGAATCCCATTTCCTGAAATCCTTCTTTACGGGCCAATGACCTCCTCCTGCAATAGGGCAAGAATACAAACATTGTATCCAAATTTTGTGGGCGATGTAAAGACACAGGAGCATGAATATGATCTTTTAACCCATCAATGAAACACATGGTATAGTAGCCCAGACATGACATTGTCCTGTTCACTTGGCTGATAAGCCATGGCTGAAAGTACCATTGGCTGATTTATTGTGAGAGAAAAATATTGTTCGTTGGCTAAAAAAGTACGGCTTATAAGCTAAGCGAACAGGGCAATGGGGTGCATGAGAGGTCGACACCTGTGATTCAGCAGCAGCCCAGCATCTTCATCAAAGGAACGCTAGGGAACATCTTCGTCAAAGGAAAACAGTTTTAAATTTTGGCCCTCCTCTTGCAGACTTAACTACCATCTACATGGCTTACTACGTGGTAACATGCGCTTAGTGGCATTCGCATGACTGTAGATGCACACATATAGCAAGTTGATGCATCCTTTTGCATGTTTTACTAGTTGTTAGACCAAAGTGATACAACCATACAAGGTCTCATATGGTGGAGTTCTAGATATCCTTTCTAATGAAATCATTTACTTTTCTAGATATCCTTTTCTAATGAAATCATATGAACAAACCTAATAACAATATCCTGGGAGGATTCATGCCATTTATATGGTGTCTGCCATGTCTTGTACTCCTTCATTCCGAATTATAAATCGTTTTGACTTTTCTAAATATATAACCTTTGCTATGCACCTAGATATAGGTTATGTTTAGCATAACAAAAACTATGTATCTACGACTTATAATTTAGAACAGAGAGAGTAGATAATAATGAACATACGAGGAATGGCACTGTAAGGCCCCACTGCTGGTTCATTTCAGCAGAAAGGTACAGACAATATGTGTGTGTGATACAAGAAAAAGTTTTAGTTGATACAGTAATAACATTGCAAATTCAGTAGAAATAGAGTAATGTTCTTAAATGAACCGACGCTTAGATATAACTAGAAAAAAAAACACCGACATTGGTAACTCTAGATTGCATACTGAGGGCAAAGATAGTAAACCATGTTTCAGGAATTATTATTTCGGAAACAACATCTGACAAATGCAGCTATCCCTAATGTCTAACTGCAAACTTGATGGATTTTAGAGTGGACACAATTGCATCCTGGCACACTTTTACTACTGAAAGAGCTGCCACGTTTGACAAACACAAACAAAGCTTCTGCTGTTAGGCACATATCTCCAGATTTCCAGAACAAGCTGTAGATCCTTCTGCATTCCAGTCATGTCCCATTGAGCCTTGAAGTTACTGTAGAGACTCAGCAGCCAGAGCTTTTTCAAGGAGCCCAGGGATTTGATGCCTCGAGGGACTGTCTCCAATTTTGGCAGTGATGTGATATATAGACATTCTATGACTGGAAGTGCACCACTACTAATTTTCAGAAGGCTGACATCATTCATGTTCTTCAAAACTAGTGTCTTCAAGTGTGGGAAGGATCCTTCTGGAAGGTCCAAAGTAGGTGGACTAGGTATATTGTTAAGTCTCATATACGTGATGTTCGGTACAGTAGATGCTAGAACCACCAGCGGATCTCCTACAAAATGGCATCTGCTTAGGGCAAGATACTTGAGATATCTGCCATGGTTCTGAAGTATCGGACAATCCGTTAGAGACCAAAATCCTGTTACAATTAGCTTGTGGAGCTTCATGCAAGTCGGGTTGAAATGATTCAAGAGAAGTGTCTCATTTTCATCAGCTGCAGATAGAAGCAAACTGGAAAGAAGTGGCATAGTTGACAAGGTAGCAAAAAGCCCTGCACAGTGGGCAGAAGTGATGTTATCTATCCACAGGCTTCTTAGTAGCAAAAGCTTATCAAGTTGCTCCGGCAAGTCCATGCTTGCTTGCACAGTCTCAAGAGTCTGTAAATCTTCAAGGTCCGAAAGCCCTTCCGGAGCTTCCACTCCGACAATGCCGAAACTCTGACTGGTTCTTATCAGCAAATTTGTCAGCAAGAACATGCCTTAGCTTAGTGAGCTTCACTATACCAGGTGGCAGTGCTTTTATACTAGTTGATTTGACATCAAGAGTTTGAAGATTGCAGAGATTCTTAATGGAGTCTGGCAGCGATGTTATTCTTGTATTTCTTAGGCCAATGTATTTTAGATTAAACAGATTTCCTATAGATGTAGGCAATTCCTGGAAATCAGAGTTCTGCAGCTCAAGGACAGTAAGGTACTTTGATTCAGATAGTATTGATGGTACATAGTCCACAATGGTATCACTTACCATCAGGGTTCGGAGGTGCGGAAATTTCATCTTGGATTTATTCTTTTTCATCTTCTTCCATCGATATGAAGATATGCGCCGAACATCTGTGTCCACCTGCACCATTGCACCAAAATCGTTTACTGTACCACATTTCCGCTTTAGAGATGCAAAGGGCCAACTCTCTTAAAATGTCATGCATTTTGCATGTATTCACCCTGCCAAGCTCATCATTTTCCACAAGTTGCAGCATATTGCGGTGGATCAGCTCGGTAAGATAGCCCTCTGCTACCTCCTCAGGAGTGCTATCCCCTTCCTTTTCGACAAATCCTTCAGCAACCCACAGTCGCACAAGGTCATCCTTTGAGAAGTGGTAATCTTCCGGAAACAGGCTGTAGTATAGGAAGCAGTTTCGAAGGTCACTTGACAAGTCATAGTAGCTAAGATTTAGAATTCCTTGAACCGGGTCATCTTTTTCCAGCTCACAAGGAAGCTGATTGCACATCTGCCTCCAAACTGGCACTATCTGCTTCCTTGAAGACAACCTACTGCCTACTGATACAATAGCCAGAGGCAAACCCCTACATTTCTTTACAATATCGATAGCAATCTCCTGAAGCTCTGATGGACACTTTACCAGAGGTAAATCCTCACACTGTTTTACAACAAGAGTAGCTAGATTCTGAAGCTCTGATGGGCATGCTGATAGTGACAAGCCCTTAAATTTGTTTACAGTATAAGTAGCAAGATCCTGAAGCTCAGATGGACACTTTGCCACTGAGGAGTCCTCACATTTCCTACCAATATGATTATCAAGCTCTTGAAACTCGAGTGGGTACTTCTCCAATGGAAGACCCTCAGACGTCTTCATCATATCATTAGCAAACTGAAGAAGTTCTGATATCCAATCAAAGTGGGTTTTGTTAACTAATCTACTGCTCCCTTGCGTGAACGCATAGGAGGGGAAGGCGGCTCCGAAAAGGCTCCCTGCTGTGACACTGTAGCCGCTGCAGGGGCAGGCGCCGAATGGCTCATCTGCCGCACTGTAGCTACAGCAGGAGCAGGCGCCAGAGTCAGCCCTGTTGTCTCATCTAGTCACTGTAGCAGCATGGTAGCTTTACTGGGACTAGATGGATAGAGTTATATAGTTTGCCACTGCAACTCAGTAAAGAGAGCGAGTTCAGTTTGCTATCTTATCTGCAGAGCTCCGGCCAACGCGGGTGCTTATGCTGTGTGTGTGCTCTGTTCTCCCTCCCGTCTTCTATATCTAGCCATAGTGTGTGGTCCGACAACACTTGTCGTGGTCAGCATCGCTAGTGTGTGCTCGACAACCCTAGTGAGTGGTCGGCCATCTTCATACCGGAGATCTAGTGGGCTAACAGTGGTATCAGAGCCGTACAAGTGCCGTCGCCAGACTAACCGCTGGCGATGACGGACGGTTTGGAGATGGGCGACAGCAGCGGTGCTGCTGTGGCTGCCCAGCCACGACAGGAGGTCGTTGTGCGCACGGTGCGGGAGATCAGCGGCACTAGTTGGCCAACGCTGACTCGCACCAATTATGGCGAGTGGTCGGTGACCATAAAGGTCAAGCTCAGAGCCCGATGGCTCTGGAATGCTGTTGACAAGGGCACCGACAATGAAGAAGACGATATGTCAGCGTTGGAGGCTATCCTCGCCGCTGTACTGGCAGACTACAGGGAGCCATTGGAGGTGAAGAGCTCTGCTAAGGAGGCGTGGGAGGCCATTGCGGCGATGCGCGTCGGTTCCGACCGCGCAAAGAAGGTGACGGCCCAGCTTCTGAAGCTGGAGTACGCCAACCTCAAATTCAAGGATGATGAATCGGTGGAGGACTTCTCCATCCACCTGCAGACGCTCATCAACAAGCTGAAGAGCCACAGCGTCACCATCGACAAAGAAGAGGCGGTCTCCAAGTACCTCCACTTTGTGCCGGTGAAGTACATCCAGATCGCTCTCTCCATAGAGACGATGCTGGACTTGTCCACCCTCACCATTGAGGATGTGACAGGCCGTCTGCGGGCGATGAACAAGCGCCTAGAGCAGGCGACAGCAACGAAGGACAGCGACAAGCTGCTGCTGACAGAAGAGGAGTGGGCTGCCCAGAGGAACTCCGGGGTAGCCTCCTCTAGCCGCGGTGGTGATGGCAAGCGCCGCGGCAAGGCTTCTTCGGAGAAGAAGAAGAAGGTCGACCCCAATGCCCGCTGGCGCTGCGGGAAGACGGGCCATTGAGCACGGGAGTGCCCAAATCGCAAGCAGGAGAAGAAGACTGAGGCTCATCTGACGCAAGTTGATGATGATGATGATGCCACTATCCTGATGGCGACGTTCTGTGCACTGCACGACGTCGAGGCCGAGGAGAAGGGAGAGGTGATGACGGTGAAAGGGCCTGGGAAGACCCTGAAGGCTGTGAACCTCGACGAACCGCGCGCCCAAGTCCATCTCGGATGTGTGGGCGGTGAGTAGGAGCAGCGGTGGTACCTGGACCCCGGTGCCAGCAACCACAAGACGGGCTCCAAGGCATCCTTCTCCGAGCTCGACGACGATGTGACCGGCATGGTGAAGTTCGGTGACGGCTCAAGGGTGGCGATCCAAGGGCGCGGCACCATCATCTTCAGGTGACAGAACGGTGAGCACCGCGCGCTGACGGATGTATATTACATCCCGCAGCTACGTTCAAGCATCATTAGCATTGGCCAGCTGGATGAGCGCAGTAGCGAGGTACTGATCAAGGATGGAGTCCTAAGGATCAGAGACCGAGAGCAGCGACTTCTTGCCAAGGTAAAGAGGTCCCAGAACCGGTTGTACCTGCTCGACCTGAAGGTAGAGCAGCCGGTGTACCTGGCAGCAAGGCACACCGAGGAGCCGTGGCTATGGCATGCTCGGTTCAGCCATCTCAGCTTCGACGCGCTTGGTCGGCTAGAGAAGATGGTCCGAGGGCTGCCCCATATCGAGCACGGAGGCGAGCTGTGTGACAACTGCCTAGCCGGGAAGCAGAGGAGGCTGCCATTCCCAAAGGCGGCCAAGTATCGCGCGGCGAACGCTCTCGAGCTCGTCCACGACGATCTCTGCGGGCCGATCACGCCAGCCACAAACGGTGGTCGGTGGTACTTCCTCCTGCTCGTGGATGATTGCATCCGCTACATGTGGCTACAACTCCTGACGAGCAAGGACGAAGAAGCGGCAGTGATCAAGAAGTTCAAGATGCGCGCGAAGGCCGAGAGCGGCAAGAAGCTGCGCGTGCTGAGGATAGATCGCGGCGGCGAATTCACTTTGGTGGAGTTCGCTGCGTACTGCGCGGATCAGGGTGCTATGTGACACCACACCGCGCCGTACTCGCCACAGCAGAATGGCATGGTGGAAAGGCGGAACCAGACGGTGGTCGGCATGGCTCGATCCATGATGAAGGCAAATGGCATGCCAGCAAGCTTCTGGGGTGAGGCGGTGACCACGACAGTGTTCATCCTCAACCGTGCGCCCACCAAGGCACTAAAGGGCAAGACACTGTTCGAAACTTGGTATGAGCGAAAGCCGAGCGTGTCCTTCCTTCGGACATTCAGCTGCATCGGCCACGTCAGGAAGACAAAGCCGATCCTCACCAAGCTGAAGGACAGGAGCACACCGATGGTGTTCCTAGGCTACGTGGAGGGTACCAAGGCGTACCGGCTCTACGACCCACACGGAGGCAAGGTGCTTGTCTCGCGCGACATCGTGTTCGATGAGAAGGCGGCCTGGGACTAGAACAGTCTAAGCATGGGGGAAGCTGGCGGCTTCACCAACACCTTCGTCGTTGAGCACTTGGTCATCCACGGTGGTGGAGACGCTGGGGAAGAGATGCCGAGCACTCTAGGAGGGGTGCCGAGCACTCCAGCAATAGAGTCGAGCACTCCTTGGGAGGTGCCGAGCACTCCGGGAGGGGTGCCGAGCACTCCAGGAGTGGAGCCAGGAGGTCCTGCAGTGGTGTCGACCACTCTAGGACGGGTGCCGAGCACTCCCGTTGCGGAGCCGAGTAGTCTTGCAGTGGTTCGACCACTACAAGACTAGCGTCGAGCACTCCGGGAGGGATGCAGACCACTCTAGAAGTGGTGACGAACAGTCCAGGAGTAGTGCCGAGCACTACATCCGGGGTGCCGATCACTCCGGCGAAACAGGGAACTCCATCAACACTGATCGAGTTCGCCTCACCTCCAAGTGACATCACTGAGTTCATGGATGCCTTCCACGACAGTGAGGAGGTGCGGTTCCGCAGGCTGGACGACATCGTCGGTGGCACAGGGCCCTCAGGACTGGCGGGTCGGCTGCTCAATGACCCAGAGCTACTTCTCGTTAGTGCAGAGGAACCACCCACGTTCGTGCTAGCCGAGCGTGATGGAAATTGGTGACGGGCGATGCTGGAGGAGATGAAGGCGATAGAGGAAAACGAGACTTGGGAGCTCGTCGATCCATCTCTAGGATGCCGTCCGATTGTCCTAAAGTGGGTATACAAGGTCAAACGGGACGAGCACGGCGCCATTGTTAAGCACAAGGTGCGCCTTGTCACCCGAGGCTTTGTCCAGCGCGAGGGCATCGACTTCGAGGAAGTCTTTGCGACGGTAGCGCGCATGGAGTCTGTCCG